GTCGCGCGCCATGGTGCCGCTGCCGTGTGGTGTCGGCGTGTACGTGCAGCGCCCTGTCGGGCGGTATGTGCCGCGTGCTGCCAGCCTGCTATGCGGCGCTGCCGGGCGGTGCGTGCCGCTAGGCGGCCCGCTGTGTGTGCTGCTGCCTATGGCTGTGCCGCCGTGCGTTGCCGGGTGGTGTGTTCATAACAGATAAGGGTATAAAAGAGATTGAATTCTAGGGTTAGGGCTATTAGAGAGCGCCAAAGAAGAAAGAGGAATATATCTTTTTCCTGTTATAGCCAAGTATTCCAATGGTAAGGATTCATCACAAATCATGTTAGCCACTTGATCTTAAGTTGTATGGGTTTAATTGCATGTTAGGGCTTGGGATTCTCATGAAACCTTTTAATAATAGACTTCAAAACATCTCGAAGTAATGTTGTAAATCTTCTTGCTATATTTAAAAATTGGAAGAAATATGTATAAAATAATTGCAAATCTTGCAGTAACCCTATGATTACCTAGAGTTGACTTGAAAACTCATACTTTACCTTGCTATTTTTAATGAAAGTTACTGTTTCCAATAAAAAAACTCATATTTTACCTTCTATAAAGTTATGTATATGATTTACTTCTATTGACAATTTTTTTTTGCTTCATTGTCTTACATTTTACAGAGGAGGCTAGCCATGATAAATTAGCTGCTCAATCTATTCATAGAGAGTTATGTGAGGCAGATGAGGCAAACTTGCTTGAAGAAGAAGGTACAGTAATTATTCTTCTTTAGATGGTAGATAGGACTTTTTGGGGCATGCTTGTTTCTGTACCATGTTTTTGGAAAATGGTGCGTGTGTTGTATTTTATCATGCATATTGGGTGTTGGGCATATACCTCCCCAAATCCATAAATATGGTCATAAATATTATAAACAATATACTGGATATTATAAGTAAGAATTGTATGGTTCATCTTCTAAGATTCAAATAGTCCTGTCAAGAAACTGAAATAATAACATATTGGGGCAGTGCGGCCTACTTAATAAATGATCTAATGCACAGTTATGGTTTTATAAGTTATCAACTAGCAAAAGAAGAATAAGAATATTTAAAATGGTATTATTCTAGTTCCAAAACCAATGTAGAAGAATAATAACTTTTTTTTTATCTGCAAAATGAGAATTTCATTCACTTAAAAGGATTAAAACAGAATTACAGCAGAAAGAAACAGACATTGCATCAGAAAAAAGTTACATATTTTTATAAACCTAATCTGCACTAGAATTCTGTTAGAATTAGGGTTGAAGAAATATTAGAGAGACTAGAAGAAGAAGAAGAGAGGAGAATAGAGAAGAAGAAAATTCTGGTTCGAACTAGAGAATTCAGATCACTCTCTAGTCAGTCAGCCAGATTGAATTTATATGTTTCTATCCATAATAACAAAAGACTACTTTGTCCCCACTTAAGTATGACACATCATCTAACAGAAACATTACACATCAGCAGCTTTAAACTTAAAAATAAAGACTAAAATACTCCTACACAGTCGACATTAACACTCCCCCTCAAACTGGTGAGTTATATCATATAGTCCCAGCTTGTTACGTATGTAGTCCACTCTCTCCTGACTCAACCCTTTGGTGAACAGGTCTGCCCATTGATTTCTTGTGTTAACATGTGTAGTATCTATCACTCCACTCAGTACCTTCTTTCTCACAAAGTGACAGTCAACTTTTATATGCTTTGTTCTCTCATGAAACACCGGATTAGAAGAGATGTGGACTGCAGCTTGGTTGTCACAATAAAACACCATTGGAGTGTCAATCGAATATCCCATACTAATTCACAAGTGGTATGTGCCATAGCTCTATATTCAGCTTCTGCACTACTTGCCACAACTGTCAGTTTCTTACTTTTCCATGTCACCAGATTACCCCCAAGGAAAGTACAATAACCTGTAGTGGATCTTCTGTCAGATATAGAGCCAGCCCAATCAGCATTAGTATATCCCTCTATTTCGAGGTTTCCTCCACTCTTATATATCAAGACATGACTAGGAGCACCCTTCAAATACCTTACAATCCTTAGAACTACATCCCAATGTGGAACCCGAGGTTTCTGCATGAACTGGCTCACCACACTAACTGCAAATGAAATATCTGGCCGGGTAATGGTTAGGTTGTTTAGTTTACCCACCAACCGCCTGTACCTTCCAGGATCTTCAAACTCTTCACTCATATCATTGCTCAACTTGGTATTTGATTCCATAGGTGTTTCAACTGGTTTGGCACCTAATAATCTTGTTTCTTCTAACAAATCAAGAACATATTTCCTCTGACATAAATTAATGCCATGTTTAGACCTTGCTAATTCTATCCCCAAGAAGTATTTTAGTTTATCAAGGTCCTTTGTTTGAAAGTGTTCCTACAGAAAGATCTTCAACCTATCAATTCCCAATCTACCACTCCCGGTAATGACAATATCATGTACATATACCACCACTAAGATCTTTCCATGCGAATCATGACTGAAGACTGAGTGGTCAACCTGACATTGTTTCATACTGAACTTTTTTACCACTTCATTGAACCTACCAAACCACACACGAGGAGACTGTTTAAGTTCATAAATGGTTTTCTTTAGTTTGCACACCTTACCATCCTCCCCCTGAGCAACAAACCCCGGTGGTTGCTCCATATAGACTTCCTCAAGTAGATCACTATGTAAGAAAGCATTCTTGATGTCAAGTTGAAAGATAGGCCAATCATACATAGCAGCTAGAGGCATCACAACATGAATTGAACCAATTTTAGCAACAGGAGAGAAGGTCTCTATGTAGTCAATATCATAGGTTTGAGAATACCCTTTGAATTCTGGTTTTCTTGCATTCAGCCTAGTGTTTTTTTTTTTTATTTTTTTCTTCATCATCGGTTGAAGATAGGGGAAGGGGCTGAAAAGGAGTGGCCGTCCTCTTCCCTTGGAGGTTTCTATGCCTCCGGTCAGCAGGTTTGTGGGTGTTTGCAATGATTCGTAGGAAGCCCCCCCCTAATCGATGGTGAGAAGAGGGCTGGTTCGAGTGATGCAGTGGAGTGTCAAGTTCAGGTTGATTGTTTGGTGATTAGATAGGTGGGTTTTGTGCAGATTTCATTGTGGATCGAATGGTTAGTGAGTTCCAAGTAGTGTGGTGAGAATTCAGGTAGTCGTGTAGTAGGGTTTTGGTGTGGAGAGTGAAGAATTCATTGACAAGTGGTGCTGAGTGCAGTGTGATATAGTGTGCGGTGTGGTGAGAGGTGATGGTAGTTCTAGACAGGAGGGTCATCCAGTTGATCAGATGCCCTCTATATCTATAGATGTTCCCGGGAAGGAGATTATGAGTGTTCCACGTGATGTGTATGAGAGGTTTGTTCAGGCCACATCTCAACAGAATACAACTACTCTTGCACACTCAGGTATGGCTTGTCTGGCATCCAATCCCAACCCCTGGATTATTGACTCTGGAGCCTCTGATCACATGACTATAACTCCAGGTGTGTTTTCCTCCCTTTCTCAGTGCCCAACATCACACTCTGGTACCCTTGCTAATGGTTCCACATCTTCCATTTGTAGTGTTGGTAATGTTAACATAGACCCTTTATCTTTATCCTCAGTTTTTTATGTTCCCAAGTTTCCTTTTAACCTTATGTCTGTTAGTAAGTTGACCAAGTCCCTTAATTTCTCTGATACCATATTATAAACCTAACCTGCATTAGAGTTCTGTTAGAATTAGGGTTGAAGAAATATTAGAGAGACTAGAAGAAGAAGTAGAAGAAGAAGAGAGGAGAATAGAGAAGAAGAAAATTCTGGTTTGAACTAGAGAACTCAGATCACTCTCTAGTCGGCCAGATTGTATTTATATGTTTCTATCCATAATAACAAAAGACTAGTTTGTCCCCACTTAAGTATGGGACACATAATGTAACAGAAACATTACACATCAGCCGCTTTAAACATAAATATAAAGCCCCAAAAAACTGTTGCCTTTGAACTCCTTGTTTAGCTAGAGAGTCAGCCATTCCATTTGCAGGTCTCCTGATCCATGTAAACAAGGCACGAAGTTCCCTTGCTATGCTTACTATCTCCCTTAGCGGATGTCTGTAGATCCAAGGGACATTATTGCTTGAATTGGTCCAAGATATCACTGTTTTTGAGGCCCCTTCTATCTCCAAGTTCTTATGATATGCTTGCTTGGCAATTTTCAACCCTTGTAGCAGAGCTAATAGTTCAGCTTTTAAGGAATCGCCTTCCCCTAAAGGTCCTGAGTATGTAGCTAACACTTTGCTTGAGGAATCTCTGATTACTCCACCAATACCTGCCATACCCGGGTTTCCTATAGAGCTCTCATCAAAGTTCAGCTTAATCTTGTTGGGACCTGGGGGCTTCCACTCCATCACTATTCTTTCCTTCTTCTCAGCAGTGCATGTCACTTCATTCCATTCTCTTACTATATCAGTAATTGAGAGATTTTGAAAGAGCTGGAGTGATTTTACCCAGTGTGCAACTTCTATCTTTACGGCCTCAACAATAAGAACTTTTAGTCACACAGCTTAAACTTTACATCTAACTTGGAAGCAATAAAACATAGAGATATCCCTTGTGTCTGATTTATGTTGATAAAAGTTCTCATCCATTGAGGAGGGTCAGATCAATGTTTTGAGAACCATAACAGACACCAGAGAAAGGGGTTGGTTCCAGTTTTTCCTGGCTTAACAGGGTGGTTTGACCTCAAAACTTCCAAAACTGGTCAATTTTCAATGAACTGGATTGGGGCTTGGTTCCTGGTCAACTGACTTTCTGATAGTTTCCAAGAATTGGCTGAAGTTTTTGTTGCGAGTATTCGAATAAAAACTAAGGTGGGATTTTGGAAAATTTTATTGATATTCAGCTTAACTTTATCAATGCATAATAGAAGCCATTCAAGAACATTTTGTCAATTTTTCCTCTTCATGTGTTTTTGTGCTTGCTTGTTTATGGAAATCCATGTGGGTGTTTTTCTTTTGTGTAAATTCATGCTTTTGCATTGGTTGTTGAGCTCTGTAGGATGGATATCTAGTATTTTACCTTAATTTTCAATCATTTTATAATTATTTAATTTTCCTTTCTGTTTTTTTACCTGGCAGATATGCATGTATTTGATTGCAAGCCGATGGCAGATCCCTTGCACTTGGTAATAATGCTTGAGGACTGGTATTTTGGTTGTATTTTGTACTAACCCTTTACCACCCTTCTGTGCATTGTGCCATATGCTCATTATGTTATTTTCTCCATGAAGAAATTCTATACAAAACAAAAAAGGATTAGAAGAGCTGAGAGACTTTACTACATCAAAACAGAAAAAACAAAGAGAATATAAGGAAATTACCTTCCAATACAAAACCCAAAGACGTCCAGAAATCAAGTCCTAATTAAGATCGCTCAGCATCCTTATTCAGGATGAAAAACAAATAACTCCGTCAGTAAAGAGCAAATATCAGCAACAAGCCTTCTAAGATTCCTTGCTTTTCCACCAAATATCCTTCTTTTCTGATTAATAATGGCCTGTTGGATTTTATTAGTATTTTCTTTAAAGAATGTAATACAACAAATGTGCCTGCCCAGCACCCTTTTTGGGATATCCTTATAACTGCTAGACATGCTAGCCCTATCTGTACATACTTACAAATACCCTTTTCGGGATATCCGTTCCCAAAATAATTGATTTCTTGTTACAACCGTTTTAGCCAGCCCATCATTCAAGCAATTGGATGATCTTGGAATCCATCTCTAAGTCACTCACAAGTTACAAGTCTTCTACCATTTTACTAATGCTCCTCATCATATGCCTATATTTCTATGAACCTGCATGATTCCTCCTAAGCCACCCAATATTAAATTTAGAGTCTCCCTCCATAAGATTTCTATAATTGAGAGTTTCTGCTAGTCTAAGTCCTTGACTAACTGATAGGAGTTCTATCCTAGTTGGGTCTTTTTTGAAGATAAATAAAAAAGAAATTTTATTGCTAAAAGGAAAAACAGTACATCATCACTAGGTGACAAGATGTCACCCCCACCATATTACAGTAATGTAAAACCACAAAAAAGCAAAAAAACAACATTTTAGTATCAACACAGATCTTAGCATTCCTATTAAGAATCCAGAGAAGTCCAAAAATCAGCTCCAAGTCTTTTTTCTGCAGTCATTGAAACTCTGGAAGCAAAAGTGCCCAACCAATAACTGTCGAACTAATAATAGCTACCAACTCTTCCATACTTTTCTTTTTCTCCTCGAAGATCGTTCTATTTCTTTCCTGCCATATTTCCCAGCGAACAGCAAAGGGAATACATGTACAAAGGATCTTAACTTTTACTCCACCTTGGATTCTTGGCAAACAACTGAAAATTTCAGCCGGATCAGCCAAATGGCTCCTGTCCACCTTGAATAACTTGAAGAAATAGGACCAAATTGGATATGAAAACCTGCAACACAGCACACATCTACTTGGAAACTGCAGACCTCTTAAGTTTTAGCCTTGGCATCTCTGAATACCCTCCAATCCAAGATGGAGCAATTAGTGTCTTGTTGTAGATGAGACAGCCTCTATGTGCCAAGAAATACTTGAAAGCCTTTGATGATTCCACCAAATATCCTTTTCCACTCCTTCCAATATTCCTATCATTTGCAAACGGGACCATGCTCCAGAAAATTCATTAAAAGGAAGGTTGGAAGAATTACAACAGGTGTGATAAGAAATCGCCGCTAAAAAGCAAAATCAAACACCCCCGGTATACAACCTTACAACGAAAAAACCCTCAACCTCCAAAATACAGAAGAAAAACTTGACAATGAGATTAAAATCAAGAAGAGCAAACAGCCCCTCCTGTAGATGCCTCTTTTTTCTTCCAAATTTGACTGCCATTTTCTTCAACTTCTTTGAAAACCTTTCTAGTAAATTCCTTGCCCCTGATAAAATAAATCCCTAATAATTAACTCACCTCCAACACCATGTTAACCACCTCTTTTAAATCTCACTCTGCACAACATGAGTTTCATTCATGATCACTGCCTTATTTAAAGGATTCAGTCGAGACATCGTCACCTCTTCTTTCTACTTCATCTATAGGCTTTGTTCTGTATTTTGTGATTCTCATTGCCTGACTTAAAAGATCTTTTGAACACCCTCCAGCGTTAAATCCTTCTTTCACCGGCTCCTCACTTTGGGAGGAGCTTGAGAAGGCACATGTGTCAGGGACTGCTCCTTGGCTGATTGGTGGGGGGGGGATGGAAGATGGTCAGGGGCATCTAGGTAGTTTGGGCATTTCATCCGAAGGAACAAGTTGGAGGAGCCGGGGTTGATGGGATCCATTTTCACTTGGTCAAATGACCAAGATGCCCCAATCCTGAGGAGGTTGGACAGATTCTTGGTCAATCAGGAGTGGGAGATATTGTTCGAAAATTTGATTCAGGAGACTCTTGCTTTCTCTATCTCAGACCATAAACCAATTTTATTAAGGGAGTTTGTGAGGCTGAAGGGGCCTAAGCCTTTCAGATTTGAAAGTATGTGGATGGGACATCCAAATTTCTTGGCGTTTGTGGAGAAAAGTTGGAATTCATATGGGGTGGAAGGTTCAGCTGGTTTCAGATTTATGAAGAAGTTAAAATTTTTGAAGGAAGATTTAAAAAGATGGAGTGTCCAAATTTTTGGGAATGTTGAGAGGAGAAAAAAAGAGGTTTTGGAAAGGATGGCTAGGCTAGATAGGTTGGAGGAGGAGGAGGATAACTTTCTTCAAGTGGGGAGGTCAGAAAGAGAGAGGCTGAGAGAGTAACTGTAAAGGTAATCCATTTTGAGGAAATTTCTTGGAGGCAAAAGGCGGGGATTCAATGGCTTAAAGAAGGAGACAGAAACACAGCTTTCTTCCAAGCATGGTAAGGGGAAGAAGGAAAAGGAATACAATTTTCAGGTTGATGGAGAGGGAAAGAATTATTGATGATCAAAAGGATATTGCAGATGAGATTAGAGGCTACTATGAGAGGTTATACAAAGCTTTGCCTCTCCGGAAATGTCATCTCTGGGAGATGGAGTTTGGGAAAGTGGAGGAAGGAGTTAGGGATTGGTTGGAGAGAGGTTTTGAGGAGGAGGAGATATGGGAGGCTGTCAAAAAGATGAAAGGAGACAAAGCTCCGGGCCCAGATGGTTTTAATATTGGTTTTTACAAAACATGCTAGGATATAATCAAAAAAAGACTTGCTGGTTTTGTTTAAAGAACTTTGGGAAGTTAAACATGTGGAAAGATTGGTCAATGCAACTTTCATGTCCCTTATCCCAAAGGTGGATGGGGCTGTGAGAGTGAGAGGTTTCAGGCCAATCAGTTTAGTTTGCAGTCCATATAAGATTTTAGCTAAGGTGTTGGCGGGAAGGCTAAAGCAAGTGTTACATTCGGTGGTGAGTTCAACTCAGATGGCTTTTGTCCAAGGAAGACAAATTTTGGATGGGATGTTGATTGCAAGTGAGTGTATGGATTCAATAATTAGAGGTGGGGGATAAGGGGTGATATGCAAAATTGATTTAGAAAAAGCTTATGATCATGTGGAGTGAGGACTTTTGGAGGAAGTGATGAGGAGAATGGGCTTTGGGGAGAAATGGTTAATAGAAGAGCTGGATTTTCACATGCATTCATCAGTGTCCTTTTCTGTGCTGGACCTCTGGTTAATGGGGTTTCAACTGAACTTTTCGAATCTTCTAGGGGACTAAGTCAGGGGATCCCCTTTCCCCTTTGCTGTTTGTGTTGGTAGTGGAAGTGATGAGCAAGCTGATTGATAAAGGGAGGGAGATAGGACTGATTTCAGGTTTCAGGGTTGGGAAGGAAGGGCTTGTTATTTCTCATTTGCAATATGTTGATGATACTTTAATTTTCTTGGGGGCATCTGCTAAGCAAGCTATGGTACTAAGAAGTATCCTTAAGATCTTTCAGTTGCTCTCAGGTCTTAAGGTTAATTTAAGAGTATAATGATAGGGGGTAAGGAGTTTCCATTTTTCTATTTTGGACTTCAATTGGTGCTAGAGCTTCCTCAGTCTCCACTTCGCAACCTGTTTTCGACAGAATTGAGAAGAGGCTTGCAGGGTGGAAAGGGAAGTTTCTATCATTTGCAGGGAATTTGACATTGATAAAAAGTGTCCTTTCAAATTTGGCGGTTTACTATTTACCCTTACTAAAAGCTCCTGCTGCTGTGGTGGGGGAGATCGAAAGGTTGGAGAGAGAATTTCTGTGGAATGCTAGGGCTGAGAGAAAGAAGGTTCATCTGGTCAAGTGGGAGCTGGTGTGTAGATCCAAAAAAGATGGGGGTTGAGGGGTGAAGAGGGTGGGTATTTTCAATAAAGCATTATTGGGGAAGTGGGTGTGGAGGTTTGGAAAGGAAAGGGAGGCTCTTTGGAGAAGAGTGGTGGCATGCAAGTATGGGGTGATGAACTTTGGGTGGGACTCAAAGGAGGTGAGACAGGCATATGGAGTCTGTATGGAAAGGTATCATGAGTTTTAACTCTTTGTTGGTTCCTTTCTATATGTAGAGAAGATGGGCCGAATGGCCCATAGGCTGTTTATCCTTCTTTATCTTTTATGTTCTTTGCTGTAATGGGCCTTATTCTGGGCCTATTCTTTHTATRTTATGTTCTTTTAATTTCTTGCCCAACTAARGGCCTCTTTGTAAATTATCAAAGTTTAACTTAATAAAATTGTGTTAGGGGTGTAAGAGTAGAGATTAAGGTTCGAAACTCTCTTACTCTGAACCCTTATTGCCGCCATCTTATTCTTCATCTTCTCTTCCTTAGAAGAATGATTTCTGTTGTTTTATTTTGATTTCTGCATCTGTTCTAAACAATCCTTTATTCTCGAAAGACTGTTTTTCTTCTTGGTATCAGAGCAAGCTCGTTTTTCCCTCTTTTTCACCTTTTTTTCCCATACACAGTGTGTATGGAGAACTGAACCGTACGGACTGTTAAAGAGACTCGATTCTGCCCAGTTGTTAGTGGTTTCTGGAGAGAAAAGGACTGACTGTGTCGCCTCCTTGGCTGATTCCAGTGTACTGCCCGAAACCCTAGTTTCTGGAGAAATCTGTTTGTGAGCTCCGCAGGGTATTTGGACTGGGTGCTCAGTGTTTGGAGGTTTTCTGATTTTCTTTCTTGAAGACTGAAC